CATATATATATATATGTAACCCAAATTTGGGAACTCATTTGAGTAATTATATAGTATTTGATAAAATCAAAGATATAGGAAAAGGTTTATATAAGGTTGCAACCATAAAATGTAGAACTAAGGATGCACCGCAAAAATCCATCAGAAAAGGTTGTTTTAATGTTGAAAAAGTCTCTAATTGATCATATCGGCATCAAGATGTATGAGTGTATGAAAAAAATAAAAAAACTTGAGTGCTAGAAATTCAAGATTTATATACCATTTTTTAAGTTTAAAATTTTATAATTGAAAATAAAAATAGATTTTAGATCATCTTAAAAAAATATTACACCAAAATTCCATATTATGATAAAATTTAAAGGTGCACCTTAATTGGATTGTTTAAGGATGTAATTTGTATCCTTATAGAAACCACACCCTATACAAAATTAAGCCTTTCTTTTTTTTGAATTACTATAGACACAATTAAATGTCCATTGCACGTACGAATCACCGACTATAATGAACAAATAAATAGACATGGAGTTAACATCTGAGTTCCTAGGGGTCGCAATCTGGGATTTCATAAATCGAGAACCTTATACTTTCGGGATCGGGATCCACTTTCCTCGTGAGCGAGCTCCATAGATTATAGGATCGGGGTCACAGCCTTGTTAGGTTAGGATCTAGTTTTCAGGATGTCGGGATCCCAATCTTAAAATTCTGGGAGCGAGATCTAATTTGTTCAAGAACCACATCTATAATACTACGGAACGTGTTTCGTGAGACAATGCGAGCGAGATCCGTGAAGTAGAGGGAGAGAAATCCATTGTGTATGGGATCGAGATCCATGCTTTAGCAGAAGCGAGATCCCTAAAGTATCGAGAGTGAGCTTCGTTGTGAATAGAATCGATAATCCTAAAAATTAAAGCGAGATCTAAAAAGATTTGAAGTTACGAGTGAGATCTCAGCTCCGGAAAGGCAGAGCGAGAGTGCCACCAGCTCCCGTTAACTATCGATAAATCATCTCATAGAATACAATCCCAAACTTGTCCCCCCCTCAATAAAGTTCCTCCGCTGAACTATAATGTAGAATTATTCCCAAAGATCCTGATCAGGGCAGGCATATGGGATACCGCCTAAAGCCACGGGACGGGGGCTTTGAGCCACCTTAGGAGATCTTTAGCGGAACCACGCGTAGAAGTTCTCGATAGATTGCAGTCCTCGTTCGAAAGCAGTTTTCAGCGAAGCGAGGAAGTTCTAATGAAATCTAACCCAAATTTTCTCAGATCTTTGCTAGAGTTCCGCCTTGGCTATCCGGATAATCGATCGAAGCGGCGCGGCTCGGCTGCGATTGATAATGGCACAACCAGAAGAGGGGTTTAACAAGATGTCCATGACTCTTCTCATGGAACTCCCCTGCTCTTTTTCATCTTGTTAGTATCCGTAATGCCCCTATTTTTAATTAATGACAAAATAAAAATCTAAAAATCACCATTGTGAAACCCAATCGTACCCCTTCTCTTACCCCATTCTTTCTCTCTATCGATCATAAAATTATTACCAAGAAATACTGACATAGAGAGAAATTTACCCGTATATCTCAAATAAATATGGTAAAATCACCCTAATTTATGTATCCTTTTTTGTGCATTTTTTCAATTTTGCGCTCACTCCTGAAAATCCAAAGTTACAAAACGAGATGATGACTTTGGATTTTCAACATCCATAGTCATCTTCGAAATTTTGACTTTGGATTTTCAACATGCATAGTCATCTTTGAAAATTTTAAAACTCAAATTGTTGAGGGGAACAAAAAATAACCAAAGTGACTTCAATTTTGAAAATCAGAAGTCCCTCTAATTTAGGATTTTTAAAATCATATATCCAGTTGCATTTTTTTCCCTAAGAAATTGGCTTTTTAAATACCTAAAATGATTTAAGATACTGAAAATCCGATGTCAGAGTAACTTTGGATTTCCAAAATCCAAAATCTTTTTTTTTATTTTAAAGAAAGTATGAAATCGTCCACTATTCTTATGACTTCGGATTTTTAATATCCGGTGTGAAGGTAAAATTGAAAAACCATAAAAAAAAAGCGCTATAAGGTATAAGCACGTAATATAAAAAATTAAGCAGATTTTCATAATTACAATAGATATCATTAATTACAATATGGAATATCGGGGCAATTTCTCGAGGATAAATAATAAAATGCAACCATGATAAAATTTTATTGGAATCAACTTAAGCAATTCTTCGTCATAAACTAATTTGCTGCTCTCCCATTTTTTGCAAGGAACGATCCGCCCCATATGTAATGGGAGGACACCATATTTTGAAGTGTAAATTCATGGTTTGAATCACTCATACTGAATAGGAGAAACTTGAAGTCCTAACCAAAGTCATGAATTATCCTGTTGAATTCAACT